ACCCAGGGGGATTTTTTTTTTTTTTGCCTAAACAAAAGGGCCCTTTTGTTTGTGAGAGTCTTGTTAAGGTCCCAAGCCTGATCTGTATGCAAAAGTGGTTTGCAAAAGGAAGTGCACTTGGTCATGACAAAGCAAAAGAGACAGTGATTTATAATGCTCACCATGACACAGCTCCTGGCTGCTTCTTCCTTGAAGATAGCATTGTCGATTTGTCATGGAAATTCTGCCGCGGGACAGCCGACTATTTAGGGGGTCTTTGTCTACAGAGTTTAATAGACAGAATGGCCACGGATCTGTCTCTGTTGGCCCGTTTAGCCCATTTGCTCTCAGAACTGTGGCTCACAGCGACCTGTTTCATGTTAATAGCTAAAGCCGACCATTAACCTCCTGCTGACTTTGGTAGTTCAGGGGTAAAGTGAGACCCACAGAGCCTGTAAACCACACCCTTATCTGCTTACCCCCCATCTTTTTTGATTTTTTTCTCTCTTGAAGAAGACATTGTGTAATGTTACAGACCATTTCAGAGCAGAAATGAGAGGGTCTGTGTTGTAGACGCTATGTATAGTTGCCCCAGAACAAATTTGAATACTTTAGCCATTTTGTTTGTGAGGAGGATTTATTTTCTTGTCATTGTGTAATGTTATACAGACCATTTCAGAGCAGAAATGAGAGGGTCTGTGTTGTAGACGCTATGTATAGTTGCCCCAGAACAAATTTGAATACTTTAGCCATATGTAAAAATGTATGACTGTCATTGCTTTAGATAAAAAAAAAAAAATCATTTTATTTTTAAGAAAAATGGCAAGTACTTTTCAAGTGAAATGTTTAAGAAAATTACAAAGGTTTTAAATGATACCCGTTTAGTGTTAAGATACAGTATTTAGACACTTTCTGGTTGTCAGATCACTTCTTAGATCTTGGTTTGACATTTTGCTTTAGTCACCAAATGTCCAAATGCTTCGGGGCCACTGTGTTTTTAAAATGCCAAGACACAATATCAAACATATTGGCATTTTAAAGACAAATAGTAGACAGGGGCTTTTCCAGTTTAAGATTTCAGCAAAAGACAAGGGTTTTAATTGATGAATATGGTTTAGAATTGAGATACAGTATTTAGATACTTTCTGGTTGTCAGACAAAGTGAAACATCTCCAAAAATGGCTTCTTAGATCTCAGTTTGACACTTTGTTTTTAATGCAATGCAAATCATTATTAATGCGACCAAAGTGCCCCAATATCCCGGGGCCACTGTACTTTTGAACGCCAACACACAGGCTCACTGGTCAGGCTGTTACAGTTTACACTGTTTTGCAGTAATCCCCGGGAGCAGAAGCTTTCTTCATTCTTGTATATATCCTAAGAAATGGATGAGCAGGCGCCCCAATAGTTTTTCTTTTTTGTGTCATTGTGCCGCAATGTGTGAGAACCGTGACCCTTGATCCTGAAGGTTTGATCTCCATGGGAGCAGCTGAGGGTGAGCTGATAGTATTTGTCACACAATCTCACTGTGCACCAAGGGCATGGTGACCTGAAACCAAGGTGTTTGCGTGCAATTGTGCCTGTGTGTGTGAGAAATGAGATAACACCTTAGACAGGCCATGAAATTATTCACACGGGTGAGGTCTCTTGAGATTTCTCACTTCACCATCAGTTTGACTCATACATTTTGTTCTTCCTGCATTCTTTCTCTCTTACACTTAAAAATGTACCATGGTAAGAACATCCGTACTTTTGGATATGTAGCATGTAAATGAATATGCGCTTTCACTTGCAAAAACTAACCATGGTACGTTTTTTTTGTTTTTGTAGATTTGTGCTATAATACTACCATGGTATTCTTGGAGTACCTTGTAATTACCATGATACATGAATTTCGGTACCATCGTACACATCAAAGTATCATGGTATACTGTCATCTGACTGTATCATGGTATTCTTGGAAGTACCTGATGTAATTATTTTAGTACCATGTTATATTTGATAGTATTACCATATGATACTATCTCTATATCGTAGTGTTGTCACAGTATTTTAGTATATAGTGTTTATATTAAAGTACAATGATATTACCATGTGATACAACATAGTGACAGTATTTTTACCAGGCATTTTTCTCTGTTTCATACACTTATTAGAGTTTTTTGTCTTTTGTGAGTGAGATCATTACGTGCTCTTTTCTCGCACTCTTTTAAATGTGCTTTCTAACATAAACAAAAGCTGCCAAAATTTGCAGCTAAAGTATGTTTATGTGTTCCTCTCTTGCTGAGAGGTACAAAGACAAAGAGAAAGAGCCAAATAGTGGCTGGATTGTCTGAACAAACAGTTCAGTCCTAGTCCCGCATGGTGTTCAGTAGCGCACGTCCCGTCAGTCCGTGGCCTCCAGAACACCCTGAGACTTTTTGGAGACTTTTTCTTCTCATCAAGAGAGCAAGAGGGAAATGAGAGCATTTACTTGCCCTCAGCTCTTTTGAGCCTGTGCTCCCTGTATCGAAACAAAAAACGAGAAGTTAAGAGTGTTGATTGATTCTCTTAAACCTCTTGAAGAGGAAGAATGGAAAGCCCTTTGCACTTTATAATCAGTTGCCAGTCAGAGACTTTATTAAAGCAAAGTTTCAGTGTAGATATCAAGTTATTACTAAATGATAGCCCTTGTTTTTGGATCAGTGTTATGGAAACTTGCATGTCTTTACTTAAACCACTTTTGCCATAAATGTCTATTTGCACCTGATTATTTTAGTTCAATGACAGGTACATTCCGTACTGCAAAAAAACTAGATAGCGTAGACAGCTACATTGTTTATTTTTGGGAGCAATATATTTTGGTCGAAATGTGCTGCCCAACTTCAAGTGTTTGGCATATTTATGAAGGAAATCAGTCATCTGTTGAATAGATTTTCTTACTCATAAGCCAATGTAATCTATGAATATTCCAAAAGTCACCTGGTTTAACCATTGCTGTTATTCATTTAAAGGTATAGTTCATCCAAAAATGAAAATTCTGTTATTTACTCACCCATGTTATTCCAAACCCATAAGACTTTTGTTCATCTTCGAAACACAAATTTCGAAGTATTTTTAAAAAACCTGAGAGATTTCTGTTCTTCCATTGGAAGTCCATTACACCAAACTTTGATGCTTCAAAAAGTTCATAAAGGGATTGTAAAAAAAAAAATAAAAATCCATATGAATCGAGGGGTTTAATCTTCTAAAGAGACACTTTTGATTTATATGATGAACAAATTTCATTTAAACTTTTATTTACGTATAAATCAATTTTCATACATAGAGCATATCATATATGGCAGTTGGAAGCTGCTTGCTCAACAGGCGAGAACCAATGAGGTTTGTTCTTTCATCATTTACTCACTCTCATGTTGTTCCAAACCATTCTTTATTCTGTGGAACATTAAAAAGACATTCTAAAAACGTCTGTGTTTTTGTGTCCTTACAATGAAAGCCTGTGGGGTCCAAATCACGTTGTTTTGGACCACACTGACTTTCATTGTATGGACGGAAACATTCTTCAAAATATCTTCGTTTGTGTTCCACAGAATAAAGAAAGTCATAAAGGTTAGGAATGACATGAAGGTGAGTAAATGATGGCAGGATTTTCTTTTCTTTTTTTAACTCTCCTTTTAATAGCATCACAGTCAGAGTCTTTGTCTGAGTGTGTAAATGTATAGCATATAACTTTAAAAGGTGTTTGCACGTTACTGATACGACTTCTGCAGCTTCCCTATGTGTCACTGTGTTTGTTTTGTAAGTATCTGTTTGCTCAGTGTGTCTCATTGCTGAGTTTACCACCTGCAGAGGTGACTGCCTTATCTCAGGGTTGGTAGTGTGTAGGGGTGGGAATCACCAGAGGCCTCACGATACGATATTATCACATTACTTGTGTCACGATACAATATTATT